ATATCCGGAATGGGGTCCTTGAGTATAGAAGTTGGAATTTTATTGATGGGAGAGTAAACAACCCGAAAGTTAAATTTCTGCAAAATATGTGCAACTTTATAGCTAATTGATGGAAAGAAGGGAATGACAACAGAATTTTTATAATCTCCTAAAATAAGAGTGGGGCTTTTAGTGTGTTGAGATGAGAATTTTTTAACTGCTTGATTAATAATGTTGGGTGAAAAGCCCCTGTCAATAGCTACTGCTTTTAAATAATTTAGTTCTTCATCAAGGGCTAGTTTGGAGGAGCAAACTTGAAGAGCACGGAAAACATAGGAATAAAATGAAGCTAACTTTTGTTTATTCGGATGACATGATTTAAAGTGTGGTGGAAGGCAAACCGATGAAGGTTTACGGTAAACTGTACTACTGAAGTTGGATGTGTTACGTGTGTCCAAAATAAATATTACAAGCAAACTGAGGGATTAGCCATGGGTAGCCCCCTCAGTCCCATCCTGGCTGATATCTACATGCATTATTATGAATCAAAATTGTTTGAAACTTTAAACTTCCCGGCATGGTTCCGCTACGTAGACGATACTTTCACCCTGTTTGAAGGTAATAAAGATGATTTAAATAGAGTTCTTTCAACAATGAATTCTATTGATCCTGCTATTCAGTTCACTTTTGAACTTGAGACTTGCAATTCTCTTCCGTTTCTCGACATTCTGGTCACACGTAACACACCCAACTTCAGTAGTACAGTTTACCGTAAACCTTCATCGGTTTGCCTTCCACCACACTTTAAATCATGTCATCCGACTAAACAAAAGTTAGCTTCATTTTATTCCTATGTTTTCCGTGCTCTTCAAGTTTGCTCCTCCAAACTAGCCCTTGATGAAGAACTAAATTATTTAAAAGCAATAGCTATTGACAGGGGCTTTTCACCCAACATTATTAATCAAGCAGTTAAAAAATTCTCATCTCAACACACTAAAAGCCCCACTCTTATTTTAGGAGATTATAAAAATTCTGTTGTCATTCCCTTCTTTCCATCAATTAGCTATAAAGTTGCACATATTTTGCAGAAATTTAACTTTCGGGTTGTTTACTCTCCCATCAATAAAATTCCAACTTCTATACTCAAGGACCCCATTCCGGATATGAATTCCTGGGGTATTTATAGGATTCCTTGCCAGTGCGGTTTAATTTACATTGGCCAAACTAAGAGAGCCTTAAAATTTCGCGTCAAAGAACATGAGGCATATGTTAGAAAAAAGGAAACACAGAAGTCTTCTGTTGCTCAACATTGTTGGTCCGAAAATCACACTTTCAATTTTTCTGCTGCCAAAATTATTCAAAAAACATCTTCCATTGGAGAACTGGATTTTCTAGAGGCATTTCACATTCATAAAAATCTTTCTGTTCTAGTTAACGATCCTAATTCCAATCCAAATTTGCCTTCGGCTTTTAGAGAAATTATGTTTTAGTTCTGGTTTCGCCAACAGATGGCGCCACTTGCTTATTCTTGTCCAGGCTTTCTTATCTTATCTAAACATCATTTCCTATCTTTTTCATTTGCGGTTTTGCAGCTGAAGATGATGGTTCGGTAAAACCATCGAAACTAGTCCTGTGAAAGTTTTGTGAATTAACGCTGATTTTTGTTGTTTGATTTCTGAATCAGTATTTGATCGGCGTGTTATTGTGTCTTAATTAACATATACAAATTTATCCTTAAGACTATTAAGTAGGACCAATTAAATGGGTAGGTCGTACTAATGAGGTCCTTGTGTTGATATTTTCCCATTAACATATTAATATCTAGTTCAAATTTTGTGAAAGGAATCTGAGTATTTAATGTTTGTGCAATTATTTTTAGCTTTAAGCATCAAAAGATGACTTTAAAAAACTAAATTGTAAAATAAAAGTTTAAAAAAACAGGAAAATGGACTGAAAATTGCGAGAAAAGATAATAATTATTAGTAGTATAACTTAACAAATAATTAATAGTTTCTTTGATCATTGCATTTTAGATTGGTGATTTTGTAAGAATTATCATTTAAATTAACCAGTTATTTATGATTTAGATATTAACTGTGACTTCTCGCTTTCGTTTTCCAATAAGACTGTAAATTACTGATAAATAATAAATATTTATTTGTAACTTTAAAATATTTAATTATTTATTTAATTATTTTAATCAGAAATGATCAACTGTACATCTGCTTAGCCCAGGTGTCGTCACTGCTCATATGTACTTATGAAAACACAGCTAGCTCAGATAAAACTGTAGTGTTTGGCTGTTCTTTTTAGTTGCAGATATTTAAATTGTTACGCCAGTGAGAAGTTTGAGACAACTTCGCTTTAAATTGAACGTGCAGCACTTGATTACTGACTTAATTTAAAATTTGAACTTATTGTTACCTTAAGTTATATCGTCACAAGTCGCTGACTGATTTGTAAGCAGCATTTATGTCAATCCAATAATTCTAATTTAATAAAAAGTTTATTAAGCCTTCTCAAGACTGTGCAGTTCCGTCTAGACATAGCAATAATTTGCTTAAAGTCTAGTTTGAGCTACCAAAACAAGTCTAACTTAAAATTATTTTTTTTAATTGGAAGGGATCAGCTGCAAATCTGCTAAACCCAGGAGTCGCCACTGCTTATAAGTACTTATAGAAACACAGCTCACTAGAACAATAAAGTTCAATAAACAGGGGCAATAAATTTCACCACAACGATACCAATTATTCACCACAAAGTGGAACGACTACCTGTGACGATTTCTAGATACTTTGGTACTCACATAATGACTTTTTCTTCGAAAATTTCTATGGAGAAAACTTTTTTTAACGTCATCTGACCAAGGTCTCAAAAAATGCCAGTATCTTCGAACACCAGATTTGTGGACATTTATATGCCACTATTTCATTTTATTGTTACTATTAAATTTTTACTATTAAAATATTTATTAATAATATTTTATCATGAGCCTTTTGATTTATATTATGGACCCCCGAAATACATTTTTGTCTTGTGGGCCACGGCTGAGAAACGCTGAGATATAGAGTTTTCAGCCGAATTTCTCAGAGAAGTAAGAAATAAAGTTAACTGAGAGTTAGCCGTTTACACAGCAGGAAAAAAAAAAAAAAAAAAAAAAACAATCTAAAATAATTAATGCTCTTATTATCTCAGCATTATAAAAGCAATTTCAGATCAGCAAATTATAAATTACAGGGAAATTTTGAAAGTCACATTTCATTTTGGTTATTCTTTACGAGAATTTTCAAAGAGAAACACTGCTTATCAAACTATAATTTGAATAAAAACAAATTGCCAATGACATGTCCTATTGTTGAATATCTTACATAAACTGAACAAAGTTTATAAAGTTTATAAACTGAGAAATAAAAGTTATAAAAGTAAATTGAGACATTATTGCTAGTAAAGCCACTGGAAGTTATACCTGATTTTTTTATGTCGTATTACACAACTCCCTGTTCGATATGAGTAATCGAAAACTGAAATCCGCTAACCATTTTTTGTTTGGGATTGGGATAGCAGTTTGGAGTTCAATAGTATTTAAAATATATGAATATGAAATGATATTAAGTACAAATGTCTCCGCCGTTTTTTTTTTTTATCAGAAATAGGGCATTTATTGTGAAAGAACGGCATGTTTATGTTTTATTCAAAGTATTGTTCATCTTTAGGCACTACTTTTCTCATCTTTCTGGCAGCATACGGATACCGCCTCGGAAGAACGCTTCATCTTTCGAGGCTATCCACAAATGAACCCAATTTTTGGTATCTTCATATGATGTGAAGCGCTGCTCTGACAAACCATGCGTCATCAATCGAAACTAGGAATAACCAGTAGCAATGTCTGGTGAATACAGGGGAAAGGTGAAAACTTCTCATTTGACTGTTTCCGGGTAAGTTTTCACTGGTGCTTCAAGATGTGAATGAGCATTATCGGGCACGGAGATATAATGTTGTCATGTTTGGAGTAGTAGTGGGCGTATTTTTTTTTTAGTGCTTCGCTCACTCTCATCAGTTGTGCTGGGTAGAGAGCCTCACTAATAGTTTCATTCGGTTTGAGCAACTCATAATAATACATTATACCAAAATGATCCCACTCATACACAATATGAATTTTTTTCCATGAACATTCGGCTTGGCTGTCGATACTGAAGCACGGCCAGGTAGTCCTCATGATTTTGCCTTCTTTGGGGTATCGTAGTGGATCCATGTTTCATCATCAGTGCCTATACGATGTGAAAAATCCTTTCGTTCATGCCTGGCAAGCAGCATTTTACGCGTACAAAAATCGGCGTTCAACGTTTCACGGCTTCAGTGCATACGGAACCCGATTTCTTTGCTTTTGAATCATTCGCAATGATTTTGAACGATGCGAAATTGCTTATTGAATCACTCTTAATGTAAGCGCAATTCCTACTTGCGTTCGACACGAATCTTCATGCAATTAATGTTACCATTCCGCGTATTCGTACACTTTTATCCTTCCGCTTCGTTCTTTGTATTCGACGTCAAATTAATCGTTCTTAAACTTTTGAAATCAACCTCGCCATATACTTCTACAATAAATCGATGCGCCTCAGCTGCAAATTTCTTCAAATTAAAGAAGTAAATCGAAAGTTTCCGCAAATGGAGCTCATTCGGCTAAAAACGCACGAAAAAAATATATGATGCTGATATTTCAAGGTTATTTGTTAGCAGATGTCCAACGTTACGATATAATGCTTTATACCAGACATTTTAAACATAACTTATTGGTGGCGCCATTTTTTCCGAACGGCGGAGACGTATTTGTACTCCAGATACAATTCGAAACATTTGCATTTAAACTATATTTTTACATCTGATTAGATACTAAAAGAAATAGTTTAATACAAAATGCTATCAATAGAAATATAGAAAAAAAAAAAAAAAAAAAAAAAAAAAAAGGTAAAGAAGGGTGAATAATTTTAGTTCTTACTCAAGTTAGATAAACAGCTTACTTCATTGGGGATTGTCGCAGTTTCACCCACAAGAGATGCCCACCAGACCATAAGATACGAAAAGATGGCAATCCATAATATGCTTCCAATAAAAGAAATGTAGAAGTATTTCCTTTTTTCCTGAAACAAGACATCTCCTTTTTTATTTCGAAGACACTAACAGAGGAGTTTTTATTTCAAAGACTATTATTATTATTAAAACTTAACTTATAAGTGCAACAACTGCAAAAATTAATATAAATATCTTAGAATGAACATTGATGGAAATTAAGTACCAGCTCAGTGTTCTATGGACAACTAACATACATAATTTCATAGTAAAAATTCTGATGTGTACACCACATGACTTCCTTGTACGGAATAGTAAATTATACGCATTTTTTCGTGCATTTTCTTTAAACTTATTGGATTTAATTATATTTACTTCACCGACAGCGCATAAACCACAATAGAATAAGTGCATTCTTTAAAATTCACTCTATTTGTTTACCATAGCGACACTCTGGCGCTAGGTTCACTTAACAGTATTATATTTCGTTCATATTATAACTCAGAATGCACAAAATTTGTATCATTTCAAGAATCATCTAATCGTTGCCACATGTTCTATTCAAGTACTATAATAAAGCTAGAACGATGTATAAAAGAAATTAAGCAAACAAAACAAAAAAGAAACAGTTTTTCACAGACGATTGAGCATTTCTCATTCAATTAATTCAGTTCTCACTTCGCGACAAGGCAAAAATACATAAAAACTCAAAATATCTCTACTAAAAATGATTAATTATTAAAAGTTAAATTAATAATTAATAAAAATTAAATTATTAAAAATTAAGTAAATCTTAAACACTTATTTCCTCGAAAAAATTCCAGAAAGCATGACTTAATTAAGCATGACTTAAATCGCAATAATAAATGAAGGCGTTTATCTTTGTTGTTGCGAAGTTACGTTTCTCTAGATTGGCAACAAATTCACTACTCAGCTGTTTCAAATGTAAACAAGCAATGGCCGCCATCAAAATAGGCTTAGCGGTACTTAAACAACTTTTAAATTGTTGATAATTCTAAAAATATTGCATACAGATTTGATTTACTAAAGGCATAAAACCCTTAACCGGAAGATAAAAAAACAACATAATTCAATCATTTTTAAAGAAAAAAAATGTACAATTTACAAACATATAAAAGTAAAGAAACTGAGATCACTGAGCCGGGTAACAGAGTGGATATATTTATAAATATATTTATATACGTTTTGCGCGGTCGATTGAAACCAAAATACAAGGTGCACATCTACATGTTATAGTAGTCCTATATACAAAATTTCAACGTTCTGAGGCTACTCGTTTTTGAGTTATGCGAGATACGTACGTACGTACATACATAAATTCTCTTCAGAATTAATTTTAAAGCAGTTTTTTAGTTTTTTTGGAGGAAAAGAGTCTTTTATTCTGTCCTTGCGTACAAATATCACGCAAAAACATTGTTAAATTGCATTCAAAAGCGGTCCATACTTTCGTTGAAATATGCTGCCAGAAGCTTTTCGCGATTACAATACTTCCTCCTTTTTCAATCTGCAGCAGTTGCTGCGAATGAATGTATTTGAATATCGAAGCAAATTACTTGTCACGAAATGCGAATATTTTAGATAAGCCAGTGGCTTAATCTTTTAACAGTGTTTCATAGGATGTTTTTAATAGTAATCCTAATTTCAGTCTTTACTGTCTTATTCCGTTCTGTCTATGGCGCGGACATTCTCTCTAAAAAACACGAAGCAATCCAAAGCAAAAGGACGGGAAGAAACATTGGTAAAATATAATTGCATAATTATTTGATCGTTTAAAATATAATCGCATAATTAACTCATTGTTCGCACGGCCTTGTTAATAAAATTTTTGGCACGGCCTTGCTAATAAAATTTTAAGAAATCAAGATCCACTTCTATCAAATTTCGAATCAGAAGTACAGATGGAGGACAAAATAATGCGAACACCTGTGGAAAAGTATGATGTATTTCACACCTGCAGTATAGCCGCGCCACCTGCAACAGAAATCTACCACCTAGTGAGCGTGGAGAGAAAGGTATCAGTCTCTCAACAGCAGTCACCTGCGTTGCATGCTTCGATCGAACTATCTGTGAAAAGTTGAATTGTCAGACCTGTCAGAGTTCCAAAGAGGAATGATACTTGGAGCGTATAAGTGAAGCATCGGTTACGGAAACAGCAAACCTTGTGGGTGTGCAAGGAGTATGGTATTAGCCGTTATGAGAGCGTATACGAAAGAGGGTAAGACGACGTCTTCAAAGCACAACAGTGGCCGAAAGTCAGCTGGCAGATAGGATAGACGGGTCTTGAAGCGCCATAGTAGCCCGAAAGCACAGCAAGCAATTGTTATCCGAGATAATCCGAAATGAACAGTCATCTCCAGGACCCCATTTCAACAAAAACTGCAAAGGAAACTTCATGCTGCGAACATTTATGGCAGAGTGGCAATGCGTAAAAACCCTTGGTGACAGCAACTAATGCTTTCAAGCGACGCCAGTGATGCAGAGATAGGCAGAGATCACAAAGGCTGGCTCCCACAGCAGCGGCAACAGGTAATATGATCAGATAAATCGTAATTCACCCTATTTCAGACGACCGGACGCGATTATGTATGGTCGCGTTTATGTCTGGTTTATGTTTTTGTCCTGACTGCCTGTTACCGACTCTGAAACATGGGGAATGCGCCATTATGGTATGTGGTGCGATATCTTGGCGCGGTCTTGGGCCACTTGTGATTCTGCATGGGAGAATCACATCCAATCACTATCTAAGAATTCCAGGGGATCATCTCTATCCTTTTGTCCAGACTGTATTCTCTGGTGAGCGACCGCTTTTTCAAACAACAACGTCCCTATCCACTTGGCTAAATGTATTCAAGAATGGTTCGAAGAGCCTGACGATCTAATCGAGCAACTCGCTTGGCCCCCTCAGTCTCCGGACTTGAATATTATTGAAGATTTATGGACATATTTGGAATCCAAACTTCGTTCCCGATTTCCACCTCCATCCGAACTTTCGGAATTAGGGACCGCTCTGCAGGAGGAATGGCTTAATATTCCTTTAAATATTGTCCATGATCTTTATGCATCTATCCCACGTCATATTCAATCTGTACTTCAGTCAAAGGGTGGTCCAACCCCCTATTAATAAAGATTTTCCATTATTTCACACGTGTTCCTATTATTTTCTCCTCCATCTGTAAGCAGGGTTACCATATGTTGCTGAAAGTCCAAATTGGTGCTGTGTTTTATTCAAGCATTTTTTTATTAATACCGATAAGAGTTAAATAAGCATCTTTTCTAACAGTGTTTCGTAATATATAAATATGTAAATATATACTGCAGATTATTTTACCTTTTTTTGTACTATTTTACCGTGTTGTAGGGCTAAATTGTTTTTTTTTGTTGACTGAAGAAAAAAACTTTCCAAGGATACCAAGTAGTATTTCCTTCAGAGGTTAACAAATAGATTAGTGCAATACCTTTCAAAATGACTGAAATAGGCGCTAACAACTTTATCTCTTTTCATGTTTGAATTCCATTAGATATGAATATCAAACTTCGTTTATTTTTAATTAAGGGGACGGTGGACTTTAAAATAGATAAAAATCAACAAAAATATTGAATTTGTTTTTTTACTCCCATATACGTAACTACATCGTATGCAAAAGACTGAATTCAAATATTCTTATTTTTACAGAAGTTACAAGCATTTAAAATGTGTAAAAAACATAAACTTTGCCCTTTAAATTTTGGAGAAAAATGTAAAAAAATGTATTTCAACAGTTTTTTACTGATGTAATAATTTATATATTTGCTCAAAAGAAGTGTTTACTTCTGAGAAAAGGCTAGAAATGTCAGTATTAACAACTATTAATGAATTTAACTTTGTTTATGTGAATGCTCTACGCTTAGAACAGGAGGAAACAATCTTGTTTTTCCTACTCGTTGCAAAAAAGGGTGATCAAAATCGCTTGAACCAAAGCAAAAATAGAAGTTTACCTGCTTGGAAAAAAAAAAGAAATAGTAAAAAAATATTGTAAAGTAATTAAAAGATAATGTAAATAGTAACAAATGAAGCTAAAACATATGATGCGAGTGAATTTTAAAGGTTTCATTGGATATAATGCATAAATTGTTTCTACCTCTAACTTCGAATCACGCACCAATTTGCGATATGTTTATTTTTCTCATATTAATATTATGAGACTAAAAATAGTTAAGCGATACGAAAATGTTATCTAGTGTTTACATATTCATATTTAAAGTTAATTTGCTGTTTCTCATGACCATGTATTAAAGGTAAGTTTGAAGAAAATCTTTAAACGCGATTTTCTCAAAACAAAATTTTTAGCAGTTTGTATGTCTTTAAAATGCTCCCTGCGTCTCATTTTTAGTTAAAAATGAATTATATTTGGAAGAAACTATCTTATTATATGTTACAATAGATATGTGTATGCATTTTTGGATATGAGGTTATTAAGAAGTTCAAACTTCGGATTATGTTTAACAAAAGGTGATATTTTCCCGAAAACTAGGTTTAAGGTGATGTGTTGTATATGGAGGTGTAAGTGTTATGAGCAATCTTACTGAGTTAAAAAGAATTGCTACAAATTAAATTCTCTTGTTGTTCTACACTTATAAATAATGCAGAATTCTGTTTTTACATGTAAAATTTTGTAAACGTGTTCATTATTAATATATATGTTGTAAGGACCTTATTTCATTCTAACCAATTATTTTTAGTTTGACTTTCCTTTCCCTCCTGATTTCAGTTTCCTGCTGGAACGTAAATTTTTCAGTGACGTGGTATGCTAATCTAAACGTGTTTCAGAAGCAGTATTTAAGATGCATTTCAAGAGTTCGAGATAAGTAGCAGCGGAGATAGTTCCAGATATATGCTGAATTGTTTGAATTTAGTTCTTTAGTCGGTTTAGACACCTTTCAGTTTATGCTGATATTGCTAGGCTCGGTTTTGCTATGTGCAGCCGATTTAGCGTTAAACTAAGGAGCCAGTCATTAGCCATCTTAATTTAATGCGCATTTTACATTTTTATTTTCTGTTAATTTAGTTAGTCACAAGTGGTGGTGAATTGTGAGCACCAAGTGCATTTGTTTAATTTAGTTTAAATAAAAGAGGTTATTTAAACCTTCTTCTGCAGTATTTATTCTTCAAAGATATAGCAAGTATTCGCTACTTCGTCTTCTACGTAGAGTCTACATTTTATGCTACCAAAGAGAGTGAGACTCTATAATGTGTCTGAGTTAATATTACTCAGATTATCCATATTTAAATAAAAAATAGCCTACTTCCTCGATTACGCCAAATTCTTGTTTTAATTTTGCTTGAAATATTTAGGTGCATAATTTCTGGGAATCAAATTGTTTGTTTTCAGTTTTTTTAAGATAAAAATGCAGGATGAATAATATTAAATATAAATATAAAATTTTGGAGTTTAAACATATTGACAGAACTATTATAAATATTCAGTTATTAATGATGAAACTTAATATAGTTTATATTTTCGTATTCATTTGACAATACAGGCTAATTTTAAAATAATAGGTTTTCGAAATTTATGCAGTTAAAAACGGAAACTTATTTTAGCAAAGCTTTAGAAATGCGAATACTAATTCTGAAAGTGCACTTCTAAGCGATTTTGGATTTACAGACCAGATTCAGAATTACAAAAAATATTAGTGGTATAACAAAATGCTGGTGAATGATGCATTCTCCTTTTCTTTTCAAACAACCGATAAATATCGTGGAAAAAGTATAATACTTTGATTTACTGCAAATTTCATCTTTTGCATGATTTGCTTTGGTCCATATTTATTCAAATTCAGCTGTACAATACAGTTTCCGTCATTCCATCTAGTTTTAAAGTTTCGAATGTACGTTCTTCCCCGGGCATAATGAAATACGGTATATGACTTATTAGATTTGACAACTGTTTTCAGAAACGTATTGGTGCCGGTACCGCAGATCTAGATTTGATGTTGGTTAGCTAAGTGTTGCAATAAACATCATCTGCGAAAGTGAAATGTGAAAGAAAAATGTCACCTTCAAAATGATCCTTTCTGTGCTTTGACCATGCGTGTTATTAGCTGACACACTGAGAAACCTTCACATTTAAAAACAAAATATATTTTTTTAAGATAAAAATTTATTTAAAACTTTGTTTATATGCCTATATGTTATTTCAATATTAAGGTTTAAAATTTAATTTATCAGACAGTCGTCAGTGCTTCATAAATGCTTAGAAATTTAATTATCTAAGAATTAAATAAAAAAATAAGTTAACATCATTTCTTTTTTTTAAATTTAGCCCTTTTTTATAGTTTTCCACTTTTACCATATGTAATTTTCAGCATTATTTGAGAATAAGGTTTTACTTTTGGTTTATGAACTACAGTAAGGTTTTACTTCTGGTTTATAAACCACAGAAACATATAAGTAAAACTAAATTAAAAAAAAACTTTATATAACTAGAAAATTTATAATTACAAAGCGAAAATAATAATAATTAAAAAAATACGTGACATTTTTTTTTTTTTTTTTTTAAATTAGAAAACTTGTTGCTCTCAAATTTTTCCTCTTCATTAAAACCTAATATGTCTTTTGAATATAATTAATTCAACATTTGTTTCTGAATTAATCCATTTTAAAACGTAAACCTCAAAATGCATATAAAGAAATTTTTTTTATACTTTTAAATCACCACTATTCCACAAAAGGCACAAATTTAATAAATGCTTTAAGAAATGTAAGACTTACTGGTTTTCTTGTATCAGGAAGTGTTAAATATAAAGGATATATTATAGGTGCTAGCAAAACGTAATTTAACCGTTTATGCCAAGTATCTGGCCACGAAAGGTCTAGTGGTTTCTCCCCATCCTCCTCTTCAACAGGCTCTGGAGGCTGCAATGAAGTAAACAAATGAAATTTTTAAAAATATGTATTACTGTATACACGTTATATACGTTGTTGTTAATTCATAAATTAAGGCAATATATTTATAAATTTGAAATGTTTCAGATTTTACAGGTCTCCCAAAGGGATCTTTCACAGTTTAATATGGTTCGGAAGAGACTATCAAGAGAGATGTACAAGGTAGTTTCGCGAACATTTTATAGGATACTAGATGAATATACATTTAGTTTAACATAAGAACATTATACATCTTCTGTATATTTGAAAAGTGAAAAATATATAACGTAATTCTGTCAAAATATTTAATGCGTTTAATTAATTGAGTCCAGAATTAAAAGCATATCTGTTTAGCTAAATCAGATTTAAAAAAAAATCTTAAGAACTACATCTATTGCTTTTTAATTAGTTTATTAAGCTATAACAAACAGATTATATTTGAAATATAAATATCTAACATTTTACCAAAAGGCAATAGACTCGGTTAAAAAGTGAAACAATGCATTTACAGCGAATCAAAGCAAAATCAAATTTTGAGACAAAAACTCTTTCGGGCTAAAAATAAAAAAAATAAAAAAAACTTATAATCAAATTTCTAATTCAGGAAATTAAAAGAAAATTGAAAATGTTTTGGTATTAAAACTGAAATTTAAAGCCCGATTTTTATGATTTTACTGGTCTCTTGCTGCCTAACCAAGATTGTGCTTAGTGACACCGACTGCCGTAAGAAGGCCTCTGGGTCGAATCTCAGAGAAGCCATGGATGTTGGTAAATGTTAAGTGTCTGTGCGCCATGGAGGCACTCTAAATTTAGGACGAGCCGAAAGTCCTCTCGAGAAATTGGTTGTAGGAGAACGGGGGGTGAGAGACCCTAGAACCCATCCCCCAGCAGTTCTTTTTCTCAAAATGGGGGGCTGAACTGATATATGGGCTGTCGGGCTGTCAGATATATGGTGTGCAAGTCTCTTGACAACACAGACGTATTTGACTCCTTGCCACGATGAATGTCGTGGGCTTGTGCTGACCATTGTCAGACAAGTGAGAGTGGTAACAACAACAAATGATTTCTTGAAAACTGTGGATGCGATTTATTTAAAATAATATTTAAGGCTACGTATCATAACCAAATCGCGAACGAATAAAAGCGCAAAATATCATTTAAAGTATTAATTCTGAATACTTAAAGCAAAATCCGGCTTCTTGGTCAATATTAATGTTCATCAAAAGCAGCTACCATGTTTATTATCGGGATTCTTACACAAAGTATACGGTACTTTGAATTTATAAATCTAAAATCATTCTGAATAGTATAGTTAATACTTGAGGAATAAGGTTACAACAAATTCAACCATGTCTGTCAAAATTTGGTCAGAAGGGTAGTTAAAATTTCTGTACTTTCGGAAAAAATTGAAAATTACTATCAAGATTACGCAATAAGCAGAAAATGTCAAATTTCTGTTGCAGAAATAAGTGTCAGGATATTCTCAACCCATTCTTCTATAACCGAAGAGTTATCGTGTACTCTAGCTAATTAATGTACTTGCCCCTTCATAGCGATCGATATTCACCTTTTAGCAGAATTTATTGCTTATATAAATCTTAGGCGTGATGTAGCGAGAAGACCACCTCTTGGACAAGTATTTTATGTCTTCCTCTTACGTTGTTCATTTCTGGGAAAATAGAGAAATGAATTACAATCCACAAGCGTTTGCCACAGACCACTCTGGTAAAGCTTTCATGCTCTTTTCTGTATAGAAATCAACATGGGAATATACTGATGTTCATTCTTGTTAATTTATTATTGCTCAAGAAAGACGATAGTCGCAAAAGTGCATTTGTTAAATGAAAAAACAAAGATGGACGTTCTGTTACTCACTTAAGGGCCTTGTATTTTTTCGAGTGGTTTGTTAAAATGCATATTTATATCCAATATTTAAAAGAAGTTCGATAGGACACTCGATTTAAGCTGTTTATACATTTGTCTCAAACATTAGTTATAATTTATGTGAATGACAAATTAAAGAAAAGTAGAGTATTTAGTGCGACAAATGACAACTAATTAAATTTGTGCTGTTTACAATTGATTTCTCTTCGTTTAAAGTAATTAATTATAGCATAGTTTCTGAAAATTTTGTGTTTCAGTTTTCAAACGCTAGACAGAAGAATAAGAAATAAAAAATATTGTTATTAGAGTAAAACGTAAAAATTTTAGATTTCAATAAACTGATGAATAATGTTTCAAAATAATTGGTTACCGGTGAAATATCCCATTACAATTAATGTATTTTGTAGCTCCTAGACAATATACAGCATACACAGCGCAAAACAGAAAATGGGACAGCTCTGTATCTCCTATTCTACTGCGCCGATTGACGAAATTTAACTTGCGTTTTTCATCTCTCGAAAGCGCGATTTACAGTATATTTAAGTATACTTCAATTTTTAATTAGAGTAAGACTCCTGAATTTTCACAGAACATGGGCATTGGTAGTATATGTTAAAAGTGCATCTGTACTGTTTGCAGTAAAATTTAACCTTGCAAACATTGTTAGGTAATAAATTATAAAACGTTTCACGTAGAAAATAATATTTTGCTGCTTCAGTATTTTGAAGTGGTAGAAGCATTTCATTAAGATTCATAATTAACTTACCTGTGATCCAACGGAGTTGGAATGGGGGATATTTTGATTTGAATTTTGCATCTGAATTTTAGATTCCGATGGCATGACAATGTTGACATTCTGGGTGGAATCTGTATGACTTTGAGGTATGCTGTTGACGGAATCTGACCTGAGGACAGCTCCATCGCCAGGGTCGCTACGAATGCTTCTCGTCATATTATTTGCTGTCTGAAATTTCAAATATGTAGAAGGGGTTTTCAAATAGACTTTGATGTAATAATGACATTGACAATAATTGTTATACACAGTTACACATCAATAAAAATGTTTATAAATATTTTTAAAAAAATTTTATAAAAATCTCTCAGAGAGAATAAATGGTGAGGGTTTTGCTCGAAATTAAAGAAAAAGATTATTTACTTATTTATATTTATTTTTTATTTCTGAATAATTAAATAATTTTTTTTGAGCAGGAGAAATATTGCTCCAACTGTCACGGATGACAGTTATGGTCATACAATTACACTGAAATTAGAATAACATTCAAAATTATTTATTCAAAATAAGAAATGCTGTTTTAATCGTCAGCGACAGTGTAGATATAGAGCAAAGCCTATGTTCCTTATAATTTAAACTAAGCATTTCTACGCCATTGAAAAATTGATAGCAGCATTGTCCTTTCAGAAAAGATTTAAAAATTGAAGAAAAATTTTGATAATATACGTTAACATATGTAAAAAATATAACGCTAAACTAAAAAAAAAAATAATACATTCATGTAAAAATATAATACTATCGAAATGGAAAAAAAAAAAAAAAAAAAAAAAAAAAAACTGCCAGGAAACTAATTCTGCTTCTCTTGCAAGACATCACATTTAAAATAAAATCTGTAAGAAATAACAAAAGTATTCCTAAATTGAACTGATAATCAGATGAGTTAATAACTTTAAAATTAGCTTTCCATTAATCGACAGCTGTGTACATGGCAATGGATTTACTAGTTTATTATTTTATTTCATATCTATTTACATTTTACTTATTAATTTATTTTATTACGCCTCGTAGGAAGTTAATTGTTTGAAAAAATTGTTAGTTTATTTTTTAACGTACGTAAAATAAAAAGTTATACACGATCAAGGCCCCCACAACCGAGAGGCAGAAGAAAGGAAAGCTAGAAGCAGTCCTAAAAGTGTTTTGCCTTTGCGTAAAAACAAATGCCTTTTATTTAGCTTTCACGTGGTCTCGCATATAAGCGATTCTCAGAGTGAGCATATTAAGCTTTGATTTGTCTTTTAAATTTAATAAATTTATTGTTTATTAAGTTAAATCCTTATTTTAATTTTCAAAAATAGAAATAAATGCTTTTCTAAATTAAAAAAGCATTTAATTTATAAATATCCAACTGATCGTTTTTTTAAACATTTTCAACTTTTTGTGATTAACAAAAGATTAGAGTTGCCATTATGCGAAAAGAAAGACGTTTAATTTATCTTGTATACTCCTTCTTGCACAGGCATATCTTAGGGTGTTGCTATTCAAAAAAGGTTAGATCTTTATTTATTTATTTAAAAAATTTAACCAGTCAGTTGATGATTAATAAGCTGAACGATTTAAAAGTAGAAAACGCATTTCTTAATAATTTGCGTTTTTCCTTCTCTTTTTAATAACTTGTATAATTCATACGGATTAAAAATTTTTTACTAATATGACATTCAACTGATAACTTTTAAGAGCTCCTGCAGCTTTTGTGTGATTATAAAAAAATATTTAAATTCAACTAGTTAAGTTAATAAGAAACATATTTAAAAATGAAATTAGTTTAAAAATTTTCTCATTTAAAAAGTTTTAAAATATTATGTTAAATATTTAAAAAGCATTGTTTTTGTAAATTTTAGTAGTAAAACCTTTTTTGAGATTTAAATAATTTCAAGGATTCTTATTGCAAGTCTTTTTTTTATTTATTCAATTATTTAATTTTTTTGCTAAAGATGGTAATTTTAAGTTATATGCAGAATACTTGCAAAGACGAAATAGTATTTTACTTAATCGAAGCAAAGAATTTGACTGTAGGTTTCCAGTAACAAATATACACTTAAAAATACTCCTTTATTTTGGAACCTGAATATTTCCTTGCTCATGGACTTTATTAGATATCATAAACAAATTTATACCTTTCGGAGGATTCCAAAATAATCTGATTATTGGATTAAACATTAAAATATCAGAGAATAATCTTCATTTCGGAAACTGTTTATGATCTCAATTTATAACTTTAATAACATTTTTCCGTGACTAGCAAAACTGCTTTTGCCGTCTATCAGACAGCTCTTGAAGAGGCACGAATGTAAAGAGGAAACGAAAAAGGGTTGTTCCTAGGAGTTGTTCCGAGGAAGGCAGCAAGAAGTAGCTGAAAATATTTGTTCCATTACTGAAATTTCGCTCAGCGAATGAACATAGCAAATAATAGGAATACATGCCCTTTTTTAAATTCCTCCTATTGGCTCACACTCTCCCTATATATCTTTTTCAAATTTTCAATCGTTAATAAAATACTTTTTATTCATCCACTCAAGTTCAAATGCATTTTTTTAAACTTGTAGTGGATGACACTTGATGTTAACACAGTTTTTTTACATATTAAAGCTAATTCTTACTTATTTATTTTTGTTTATCGGAACTAAAGATATACTGTTTATATCGGCACTAATGATATATTAATATAGTTTCATAAATTAGAAACGAAAAAAAATATTAAAAATCTAAATAAAATTTTTCTTTGTTGATCTAAGTAGGATTAATTTTTTTTATATTACTTGTTAATATATTAACTGAGTTTTAATAATAAGATTAAATAATATTCACATGGTTTGTGATAAAATATGCATCTAAAATATTAAAACATACAGCTATTTAGATAATTATTGAAAAGAAGAAAAGAATATATAAGTGAAACAGAAGCTGACCCAAATTACCCGGACGTTGCTCGTGGGTGACATTTCGACAGGGGGCATCTGGCCATCAGGTGCCCCCTCACCCCCACCCACATTCGATGGCATGATATGCCCACTTGCAGATTCTACCATTGAGGGATGAGCACCGTGCGTGCAGTCGGGACATTCAGAGCATGCTGGACAAGATACGCTGTTAGGAACTCCCTTGCCTGTCATTCCGACAGTCCCATTGGTCTTCTGGGCTTCCAACAGTACCCTTAAGGAAGCAATGGCATGCAACTGATTGGCTTTGTCATCCAATTTACCTGAAAGAAATTTCTCAAATTATTGGTCATAGTTTATAAAGTAAATTAATTTATACTTTGTAAAATATCTGACATCAGAATTTTGACAGAAATTTATGGACTTATCTTACTATCGGGATATTTTTATTTTCTCCCTAAATACACATTTAAATTTTAATACGAACATTTATAAGGATGTTCTGTAACTTCAATACATACCTAATCCATAGTCTTGAAAAGTAATTGTGAGGAATTTTAGTCATAGTGATTAAGCTAGATTATGAAAACACTACATACAGTATATTTCAATATTTCTGACAAAACTGCGGTAGTAAAACTGACATTTCCTCCTCTCATTAATTTTATTCATAAGATTACTGTGTGTTGCAGCAGGTGAATAATAGATAACTTTATAAGACATATTATTGCTAATTCGATAATTACTTCGGTTTTGAATAATCATACATCTAAAATATGAAAAAAAAAATAAAACTAATTTGTCACGAGCATTTGCATTCCTTTAAATATTTTCCATGTTTTCATTCATGATATTTTAGAGGGCATTTCTTATTGCCAAGTGTAGTAAATTCTTTTCTTTAAAACATCTTATACAAAAGAGAATAAGGAATAAATTTTTAAGGCTAGCACAGTTAAATAAATATTAAAGCAATAAATTGCAGATAAAGGTTTAATTAGTGCATATTTACGACAAAGGATACTAGAATTTGTCAAAATCAATACCTAGCAAGAAATTTTAGAATACTTGAACGCTTTTTATGCTTAGCTAAAAAAAGTGTTTCTAACAATTGATTAAAATTATTAACAAAAATCAAAACAAAGTACTAACAAGATAAACTTTCTTTGTAATTTATTTGCTGGTGAAATTTGTGCTTTTTGTTGAATTTATTGTATCGAATTTTTAGCATATATATTTGCGAATATTTTACTGACTTTAATGAAATTACATTACATTGATAAAAAATTATCTCGGAGCAAAGAAAAAATGCACAACTATTAATGTATAATTACTTAGATTGACATTCTTGCAAAACAATTTATGACAATTTAAGTGGGAATTTCAACTAAAACGGTTTTTTTTCTTTAAACTTCCTGTTTTTGCAAATGATAAAGATTTTAATTTGTAATTCCTTCAGTTATGCACAAGTTATATCTATTAATATAGGTCTTAGTTATTATGAATTTTCTGTTTGGTTATTGTGAAATACATTTCCATAAGTCGAAAATGTGGCCTAAATAGTGAAAACTACCCTAGTAGTGACTAAATTAGAGTGAATTACAATCTAGATCCTATAAACGTAACAGCACTTTGCTAGTTATTATTTATTTGAGAAAAATTGTACTCAGAGTGTGCATGTTATGAAATTAGACCGGCGTTTTTATTGATAGGACTAGTTAACCTGCTTTGAATCAATAATTGTTCCCAATTTATAAAACCATCATTTATTTAGAAATTTATAAAACCATCATTTATTTAATGGACACATAAATTTTAATAGCGTCTCTTTTAATAAATTCCCTTCAATAAGCATAACTTAACGTAACTTCATTAAACGTAGCAAAGCTTGTTTCGATTTCAGTACTTATTACAGTTACCGAAACTTTTAGCTAAATTATTTTAAGCAGTCTTTCGAATGCAAATCGGACTATAATGTTCTAAATCTCGTGAACATATCAAAGGGTATCCGATTTTAAGTACTACAAGCTGTTGCAAAACGAGAAGCCATTGAAGCAATCATGGCTGTAGCTCATTATAGGAATGATGTCTCTTTATGTTGCTATAAAATTCTAGAGGTTACGCTCGAGAGTTAACGAAACAGTATAGGGAGTCAATAATACAGAAGATTTCATATGCGATGAAATACAGTACCGTTTTCTTATTTGATAAAATGAACCATAGCTTTGAAGCATAATAGCTCAGTAACACCGATAAATTTGAAGTATAATAGCTTAAAATAACACCGATAAATTGAAATTCCGTATTCCACCCAGAACAGCGATTAAGTAAACAAAACTGAATTTTTTAAATTAAAACTGAATTAGACCACAAAACTGAATTTTTTAAAACATTCGTTAATTTCTTTGTTTGCTATTAATTTATTTATATTAAAAATATTTCAGAATGAAAAAATTATTTATTTATTAACGTAATACACACAGAAGAAGCTCAGAATCTGTCTTTAAAATTAATGAAACTAATCTGTATTGTATTTGAGGTCAAATGTAAAAGATCTTAACGTATGTTCACATTGAATCATATAATGTATGAGTATTTAAAGTTTAGCAATAAAGTACCTTCATAGTATTTCAGTTTATTTTGTAAAAATTTTTAATTAAATTTAAAAAAATTGTTTTAACTCTACTAACTTTTCCTAGTCGTTTCTATCTGGATCAACTCAAAATATATGCATATTTGCAAATTTAGTAAGTGCATATGAGGAGAAAGTGTCAAGATACAGAAATTAAAAACTAGGACTGCCCAGTTGCGTGATAAAATTCTTGCGACCTTCCATAATATCTTCATTTTTTAGCTGTTATTTTTAGCTGGCAAAAAATTGCTTCAAATAACTGATTTAAAGTAATAAGAAATAAACTTCTGTTATGACAACTTTTCCGTGTTTAATTTTTAATAGTTATGAGTAAAGATATAAAAAAACCATAACCATTACTCGTAAAAAAAGTTTATCCAGTTACTTTGATGGAAGTTTGAATGTGCTAAAGTTATGCATTGCTTATTTATTGAGAAAATATTATAACTCTCAGTTGCTTCAAGTGGCAGAGGAGCTTTAAAACATATTTAAATTTGATTTTTTTCTAAGCTCTTCTTAAAATATTTTTATTTCATTTTCTTTCCAATGCATTAATTCTTCATACTGAAAGTAATTTTTGCCTGAATAATGAATCATAAACGACAGCATACTCAGTTTGTTTAAAAGGTTCTTCCGTGGATTGGCAAAGATTGAGAATCTGCATTCTTTCCTCTGAATAACAAGTTTAATATTTGACAATTATATGGCACTAATAATCAGAGGCAGATGGGGCTACCGCAAATTTAGGGAAACGTTCCAAAGCCCCGGTGGCCCTAACGTCTCCTCACCACCTGATATCGATGGTTTAAATATGGATGAACATTAATCATAACTGTAGGATTCATGCAGCAAAAAACAATAAACTCTTTGGAAGGAAAAAAGATTTAATGGCATTCCGCCTTTCCCCCCCCCATGACAGAACACATAAACTCTTAGTAAACATACTAAAGCTATCGTCTCAACCCTGTTGTCATTACAGCTTCGGAAATTCATAACTGTTAGATCTAATGTTTTACTTCACAGCCTAACAGCAAGGAATTTTCCGATTCCAATACCCCGAAGATTTCCGTCATCCCATGGTGTTGGGGCTGGGAATTTCAGAATCGCGGATCTGCAGAAAATCAGAAATAAATTCGATGCAATAAAACATATTATACATGTTTTTATGCTTTTAATATAAACCGTATACATCCTGCATTAAGAAAAGCAATGGAATATCAGAGACCAAATATCTGCGTAGGAGAGCTGGATATATTTACTAACGATTCGGGTTATGACAATGGAATTGGTCCAAAATATGAGATTTATTTGTTTGGTATGTAGACTACGGCAAAATTAGACTTGAATCTTACAATTCGGCTACCGTATTTGCTCTTAAATAGATTGATGAAAACCTGACTGCAAAAATATTAATATATACGTATACAGACTCACTATCTGATTTGCAAGCACTAGTATATGCTGATAATAACTGATATTTTGGTCACATATATAAAAGATCTCCTTGTAAAAATTGAGAAAATATATGAAGTGAAAATGAACTGGGTGAAAACTCATACTGATGTCATAGGCAACAAGAAGGTCGACATGCTGGCCAAAGAGGCAACTATGTTTAATGCCGGGAATGCTTTCGGTATTCAAGCATAAAAAAGAATTATTATTGGAAAAATCAAGGACTTTTATTATGATTGCTGGGAAGATAAATGGAACCTTTCGGAAAAAAAAGAAAGATTATTTGTTGAAGTTTGAAGTTTCTAAAAATATGATATGCGATTTTGATTACAATCAAATAATTACTGGACACAGGTTCTTCTCGGAGTACCTGAAAAGATTTAATTTCCAAAATAATAGTCCTTGTAATTTTTGTAGTGCTGAAGACAATGCACGACATTTTGTCGAAGACTGCGTATTTTTGCGACATGCTAGAAAAAAAACATGGTAACATAAAATAATTCTATTGCCACAGAAAGAATTTAGATTTTCAAAGGAGGGGTGGATTTTCTTTCTTTATTACTTGTGAACTATGTTTGTAAGAAAAGTGAGAGTAGTATTTTAGGTTTAATACAATTTTCCTAAACTCGTGCAGCTACTTAGAGTGCTCGAAGTGTCAAAGTGACGGCTATTAACAAGTAGAAAAAAAAAAAAAAAACAATGCGAGCGATTGCTTGAACAGTATTGGTCAACACTGTGTCAGCATGGAACATAATTCTTAGGTGCACTTCGGTATCGCGACCGAAGGAGAGGCTTCAAGGAGGAACGAATGGACAGCTATTGCTCTTGTGACGCTGAATCTCTGAAAGTTGCTGTTTCCATTTTATTTTGCACTTATTTAGCAGTTATCCGCAGTATCTAGCATGAAGATACATTTATTTCGAATTCCTTCAGCGAGACAATAAATGTGTAATTGTAAATTTAAAAAAAAATCCATTTATTCGTTATTTCATACATGAAATTGGTCGGCAAAACATTTTCAGTCATCTTGTTTTAAGTGCAGCAAAACTCATGTGACATAATAGAAAATACCACTGGAAGCCTATTGATTCATTCTAGAAGGACTTCCTTCGGTTTCGATACTGATGCGCAGTTATAAATTATTCCAGCAAGAATTGCTGCACATACCGCTGTAATTTCTTAACGAAAGACCTTTAGTACTTTAGTATAACCGATTTCCTGCTCTGCTCGACGTTTATCAAG